ACAGGATGATGGTTGTTGAGTGAGTTGGGTGCGTTTTGAGGTTTGAGCCTCTCAAAAATGACATCCACGGTCTACTATAGCTGTTCTGCCATAGCTGTTCTACCACAGCTTCATCCATCCAATATCTTTAAACATGACAAAGGAACAAACTTAAAATGATCACTTCACCTCTTTGGGATTTCTACCATCCTTAAGTTCTGTTGTAAAAAAACACATATTTTTCGATGCTTCCGATCTGTGACCCCTCCACCTCTTTGGCCCTCGGAGGACTCAAGCCCCTAGGTGCGGACCAGGTTGTGGGAGGCTGGGGAGCTCAATGAAAACATAGAGTTCCTTAGATTGTTCCGCTTCATTATAATATTGAAAAGCTGACAATAGAGGATTCCTCAGAAATTTCATGGAATTTACGCCTCATTATAGCATTGTGAAATATTGTGAAGCTGAATTATGAAGCATTATGATATTCTTCTGGTGAAATCTTCTCAACCTCACAGTTAATATGTTCTTATCGGTTTTAGAGGGTCAGGTATCAAAGACAGATGCAGAATAGGAATCACCAACGGGGCCTACCAATGGTGTATGGGCAGCCTGGGTCTTAACACCTGGAAGCAACAAATGGATCATCACCAGTCATGGCCTGACAACTCGAGGAAAATCATGGCTTACCCTCAAGTGTCATCAACCATGGCAAGCTGGGAAATCCGATAACTGTCTGGAACTTCAAACAACTGAGAAAATCACCGAACTAAATGGGGGATTTTGAAGCCAGCCACAGTTGATTACCACAGGGTGACATCTTCCTGTCCTATCTGGGCTTACTGTAGCTATTCCTTGCTGGGGATCATCACCTACTGGGAGTCAGGGTTTAGGCCTGCACCTGCTGGCCTTTGAGGGTTGTCCAGCGCATGACCTTAAAACTCCGAAGGCAATGAGTTTGTGGAGAAAAGGATCCCATTCCTTCAGTCACGTCAGGTAAAGACGTGCGGCCAATAAATAAACTAACTATAGGCCATAATTTAACTAGTTATAGGATATATGCTAAATTACAAGATATACTTATTACCCTCTGGTAAACTAACATAACTATGGTAAATCACCATTTTTAAGTTTGGTAAATCAACTATTTCAATGTGCAATTTTCATATTTTCAATAGCAAACTGTAACACATCACCAGAGGGTATTCAATAACACTACCCTCTGGTAATTTAACATAGCTATTGAAAATGGCCATAGAAATAGTGGATTTAGCCATTGAAAATGGTGATTTTCCATAGTTTTGTGGCTGTTTACCAGACACTATCCCCTTAATTGGGTTGAACACCATCAGATCTCCCAAGTTTTTTGGGAAAATTTTACTGGACCGGATCGATCGTTCAACCGGCTCCAGGGGCGCCCCGGCAACGCTAATGGCTCACCCTTCAGCTTCGCAGCTTCCGACATCCTCAGCTGATAGTCAACATATGGTTTTGTCTGGAAAGCCATAAACATAGTAGATGGTATCCCTCAAAGTATTGACTATATTTTATATAATATTTTATATATTAAAATATTTATAGTTGTATTAACATAATTATATATAATTAACGACGAAAATATGAGATAAAACCCCTAAATCCAACGGTTAATGGTTTGGAAACCATGTTCCCACGCAACTGACTTGTTGTGGGTGAATCCCTCATGCGTACAAACAACCCATCTGGAATTTCTTACTGACCTTCTCCCCTGGGATTCGCACTTGCCCAGATCGGGCATGAGAACTTGCACTTTTCCAGATAGATTTCACGTGGTTGAAGTGGATGTGTAAATCAAACCAATGTGGCAATTGAAATAATGACAAAAAAATTGGGCGTTGTTCATTATATTCTCATGCTATATATATATACAATGTATATAACACTGCATAACTTTGTGTATATAATTATATATATATATGTTGTATGCATCCATTTATTCCAATGGTTTTCCCGCTTGGGCAACGTGGTGTCATACGTTTGAGGGAGAGGTTGACCTGAGGACTGTTCAGTTGCTGCCGTGTCTTTTGCCGCACTTTGAAGATCTGGTCCTCGAAGTGGGGACGATTCATGTGGGACTCCCTTCAAGTTGTCCGTTTTAGGGATGCCAACAACAAGATAGAAAGAACACGGTGACCACGTTCCCCACTATTTTGAAGATGTTTTGCTGTCCATGTTTGATTTGGGGATAACAATTCTTGTGGTAACTTCAGGGATCATAGAGTGATATTGTGACTCTGCCTCGCCAGGGGATCTCTCCAAAAAAACACTCAGTGAAGCATCATCCTTTGACCATCATTTACCAACCCAAATATATGGATAACTTGTACTAACTGTGGCAACTGTCGAAACCCTGGTAATTTGGTGAACGCTAAAGTAGCTAGAATCTAGAATTCATGGATGTTCATGGCCCCCAAAAACTTCAATCCTCATCCAATTTTCAAATTCATAGAATTCGCTACCGTCTTGATCGTACAATTGCCATCATTCACGTCGTGACGTCGCAGTGAGAGCGCTATAATTTCATCCAGAAATATGGAGGTTTCTTAAAATGAAGGGTATCCCTAAATCATCCAGTTGAGTAGGATTTTCATAAATTTTCCATTATAAACCCACTATGAATTGGGGATTTCCCCATGACTATGGAAAGCTCCATATGAGGGTTGTCCCAAAGCGGGATCATCATCCCCGGATGGAACAGCCACCAGAAACATCCAGAAACCATGTTCTAGTAGGGCTTCTTTACAATTTAGGGGATGTTCAGTATTACAAGGGAAAGGAGTACTTCAAACCACCTACACATTGCCAGAAACTTCTCGACGGTCCGACGGTCCTGATAGTACTCATCAGGAGGTGGCCCTTGCACAGCGAAAGTGTATAAAACAACGTTTTTTCCTGTTGCTGTAAACATCCTGGTTTTCTCCAAAGAATTTCTTGTGTCATGTCCATACTTTCAAAACAAAATATCCCGGCAAGAGACCCCAAACAGTGTGGGGGGAGTAAAAGGATTATGTATTATAATGTTGATGAGTAGGATGATGATGATGATGATGATGATGATGATGATGATAACGATGATGATGATGATGATGATGGTGAGGATGATGTTGGTGATGATGGTGAAGGTGATGATGATGATGATGATGATGATGTTCATTGATGTGGGTGATGACGGTAATTACTGTTGGTGATGATGATGGTGATGATGATGGTGATGATGATGATGATGATGATGATGGTGATGGTGAGGATGATGGTGGTGATGATGATGATGATGGTGATGATGATGATGGTGATGATGAAGGCGATGGCGATGGCGATGGTGATGATGATGATGATGATGATGATGATGGTGATGATGATGATGGCGATGGTGAGGATGATGGTGGTGATGGTGATGATGTTGTTGATGATGATGATGATGCTGATGCTGATGCTGATGCTGATGATGATGATGATGATGTTGATGTTGATGTTGATGTTGAGGAGGAGGACGTTGAGGAGGAAGACCGACCCCAAGACCGGGAAGCACACTTTGTGCGAGCCTGCGCAGTCGAAATGCGGACGAACATTGCACAAGAGCCATTTTGTATGGAAAATCAGAGGAAAAACGACTGTGGACATCTCCGGGGACATCGTGCGCAGTCAAATGCACATGGACATGTCACAAGAGGCATTTTGTGCGGAAATTTACAGGGAAAATGCCGGACGCTTCCGATACCACCTCGGTTGAACACCGGACCTTAACACCTACCGTAAGAACCCCTCAGTGTGGCCACACTGTTTGAGGAACTTAGTCGGGGTAAATTATATTCAATTGTGGCTTACTTTTCGAAGTCGAAGGGAAAGGCCCGCTGGGGTATGTCTTGAAGGCAATAATCTAGGGGGATGATAATAAAAACCCAAGGAAAACTATAGGAATGGGTTCGGTAGCTGCTTTACACCACTTTTAAGACGGGATAAGACTCTCTACACCCTTGAAATCTGGCACGGAATCCCATTAAATGTGGTCACTTCAAAGTGCGACATCTTCCAAACTCATGGCAAAATATCAGATCTTCCATCACTAGTGGCGTAAGAGGGGATTACAACCTGCATTTTGTAGGATGGACATCCAGAAATCCCGGCTGCTTTGGTGTGAACAAAAGGGTCAAAAAAGGCCTTGACCGACAACCAAAAAGAATCCAATTCACCTACAATGTGCGGCCCCCCAAATATAAGGTGGTTTATAAATGTTTATAATCCCATCTCACTATACTTATATATTTCTACCACAAACCATAGGCCATAGTTGACCTATGTTCACCAACTTAGCTAGCTGTGGGCCTCACATTGTACCATTCCGGCCAGTTGATCGGAATTCCAGGATCCGATTCAATGGAGCTACTTAACGTACCATATTTCTGGCCATTACGTAGCCCTTACATAGGCCTTACCCATAGGATCCATGGTGCTGCTATATATGGTAACATGGATCCCATCAATATACCCCAAATGTTAGCATATATACCATACATGGATCCTATGGGTTATGGTAGGTACCTCCAAGTTGGGTTCCCGGAATGGCTATGGCGGCTATGGAGTTGAGCCGCCTCGGAGCTTCGGACAGTATTGTCCAATGGGCGCAGGGTTGCTGATCGTTGCGATACGGATGTACTGCGCCTGGCACAAGTCGATGATACATGACATCATCATTTCAGTAAGGAACCAGGGAAGATGGCTGGAAATCTGCAGTGAAGGTTATTCAACATAGCCATGGAAAATCACCATGCTATTCATAGGTAAACCATCTATTTCTATGGGCCATCTATACCATGGCTATGTTAGTCATAACCAGAGGGTAATTCTTCAGTCGTGAAAACCCTGTCCAGTTTGATGCAGTGACAATGATCCCACTTGGTGGATTTTTCTTCGACGAGACAATTTCCAAACCCCGGGGTCACCTGGAATTCTGGCACGGACAGAACACATCTTGCAGACATGGGCCCCTTAAGAGCTATAAATGTGTTCTAATCGTCATAACCCTACGGCAGTTACGGTACTTGTGCCCCCAGCTACATGTATACTATTATTTGTATATCATGTATATAGCAAATCCAGGAAAAAACAAAAAACAAAAGTAAGAATCCCTTCAAATAATAAATAGTGATCCGTAATTTTTCTACATTTTTGGAGCTTGCTATATGATGCTATATGATCTATACGTATATTGATAGTATACATAGCAAAATATCACTAGTGGCCAGTGGCCCATCACAAAATGGACATATCTAGGCCCTCACGCCATCTTCCAGTCGTTTTTGCCCCAGGCCCCATGCCCCGACTGGCCCTATCTTGCAGGTCGTCGGTCTGACGTCGTGCCCAAAAGGCTTTCTCTGTGTTGCTCTTGATCCTCAGTAAAGAATAAGTGCCCCAACTTACCCTCTGGTAAACATACAAACAGCTATGGAAATTCACGAATTTTACCCTCCAGTAAATTAACATAGACCCTGGCAGTGGTTTCCACTATAAATAGGTCATTTTCAGGGTCCAACTGTTAATTTACCAGAGGGTACGATGTAAATCAACTATAATTGGCCATGTGCAATAGCTATGCCTGTTAGTCATGACCAGTGGGCAGATGGGCCGATGGGCCATGGAGTTAGTGAACTGTTTAATAACTGTTTAGTAACCCAAAAAATATATATCCCTTATACAACCTGATAAACCCTGTATAAATGTGTAGGTAATGAGATATCATCCACTTATGCCAGCATTTTTCAAGGGAAAACTCGCTATTTCATACTTTTTCTATCGCCATGCTATCAATAGCTTTTTGTATGTTTACCAAAGGGTATCATCTTGGGTGTACCCCACGTGCTGACGCTGGGTATAATCTCCCTTTTCCATCCTGAAGTTCGTCCGAACTTCCACAGCTCACAGCTAATAAAAGGTGCCCTATGGTGCCGTCTACAGCAGAAATCTCAAAGTGATCTTTCAGTGTTTCATTAGAGACTTGTCATTCATTATTATATATGTATGCACATGAGTATTCAATTGCCTCCATATCAATTACGGATGAATCATTCATCTTAAAGTCGTAGCAAGTCATTCGTCATGACAGGTCAAACCTAAGTTGAGAACTCTCGCAGTGTGTTCTTCATGTCTTCTCGAATGCCTTCCTGAGATGCAGCTCACAGGAGGGCCAGGTGAAAAGTTGGGATAGCCCAAAGCTTGGTCGGAACAACTAGTGTTCATCGGGTGTTTTAGTTTATACAGCAAACATATTAAAAAAAAAAAAAACAATTGTCTCAACCCATCATTCCTTTGGTATGCTTGAAAGAAACGTACAGAAATATCTGAAACCCAACCGGATTAGTGGGATAGGATGCACTGCAGAAGCCATACCTGACAGTTTTTGGCAACACATCTTCTTATCTTACAATGGTGCCCACCGTTATAAGTTGGTTTATAAACATTTATAATCCCCATTAACTAGTTTGTAATATCTACCATAAACCATAGAATTCCGCCACGTGTAAGGCAACTGAACGTTATCTTGGGGGCCCCACATTGTAGGAGTTTTCAACGTTTCGACCTATGAATGACGTGCACCTGGGTCACCTGTGGCATCCCACGTTTTTGCTCTTCAGCGAGTTGATCTGATGTCGCACCTCATGGCGGTTCGCCTGGTGACTGCGCCGAATGGACAGAAAAAGCATGGCCAATCAGCCAGATATCCTGCAACAAATGACAAATTCTTAGCTGGTGAACGTAGATAACCCCATTGATACCCTGCAAGACTAAAGGATTAGTTTCTAGCCATCTAAGATTGACCTAGAAAATCCTAGAAATATGGATGCGACTGAAAATGCGGGGTATCTTATTCAAATGGCATCGAATGAAGATCTATATATATATAAATTGAAGTATGTGGGGATAATGATGAGTAACTGAGTAACCACGGATTTAGGGGTACCCTATTTTGAGACAAACTCACTCATATGTTTTATCTTGAAACCGCTGACGTTCAAGGGCGGGTTTTTCGAGTTTCCTTAAGCAAGATTAGGAAAATGCAACAGATGAAATTTGCTTCAACGGAATAAATGGAAAACATGTAGCTTCAAACGGACTTGATGGAGCAAATCCTCATATAACTAGGTCCGCGGATGTCCTCGGACAAGAAGAATACAACCTACAAATCGTGAAAATGTGTCCAATTCAAATTTTGAAAGTCGAATTAAACAAATACTAGTCTATATAATTACTACTCACTCTCCAAGATCTCTAATGTCAACCTCAGATTAATAAACCCTGATCATTAATTCAGAGACTTATCCTCAAAATAGTGACACCTTACTATAAAATGGGATGAACTTTGTACCCTGCTTACCAAAATCCTAGGTCCCCAGCTCAACAGCATCTGCCCATCTGCCTCCTCCTCTGTTGTGGACGGATACAATGGAGCTATGTATCCAGCAGCCATGCCGGGCCGTCGCGTTGGAACTGCTTGCTGCAAATCATGCTGACGTCAATGTACGACAAAATGTCAAACGCTTCCGTAGCCACAAAAATGAACATCAAGCCATCTATCCACTCAAAATGCTCACAAGTCAAAAACCATTTTTGATACAAATAACGCCACCCCAAAGCCTTCGGCTGAGACAGAACATGCAACGGTGAGCGTCAGGTGACTTTGAAAGAGCATCATGTAAGGCGTAGCGATCTTATCACGAGAAAAAACATGATGATGATTGGACTGGTACCAAAAAAACTGGCTGGAATGATGTAGTGTGGGATGCACGTGTCGTAAACCATAGGGTAACGTCCTATATGGGGGAAAATTACATCCCAGAACAGGATCATACACGGTGGTAAATCCAGTATGAGAAGCCTAATTGGAGATGGTTTAATATTGTTGAATATTGAGTTTACCTCATTTCTGAAAATAAGACGCAACAGTAGGAACCAACAGATATAGGTATTTGCTCTGTTTTATTCAAGTGTGAAGGGTGTTCTATACCTGAAAAACAACAACGAGAAGCAGTTCAGCATAATCCAAGTTTTGACCATGGCAAATACCCTCCAAACTATCATAACTCATGACTATAAAAAAAAAAATCTCAATTCTTGAATGGGCAAATCATCTATAGATGGGACATGTTCCATAGCTATGTTCAATTATGCGGGTAATGGTATATTATGGTGGATATCCATTTGTCGTTCATGAACTACCCCTGGAAAACTGCGCACTGCTTTACAAAGCCTCGCCGGCGGCACAGTCAGGCTGAAAATTGGAATCTGTACATGTTGAACATCTGTCTGTTGTTGACTTCCTGCTAGTAGTGGACAGCTGATCATTGGACAATGGCAACAATTTATGGGGCTATAGAAAAGTATTTCCAGGATGTGATACAGATTATTCTAGGATTCTAGGAAGTTCTAGGTTTCCAGCTTTTTATATATTTGGGGTTGCTTAAAAGCAACGATCATCAACACGCCACGAGAAGTTGTCAAGTTGTCGATAAAGATGCAAACTGCAGGCCCTGGCTGAAATCTGTTGTGTTTTCTCCAAATCCCACCGTTGATCATTCCTCCCGTTTCAAATTGCCAGGGGTGTACCTGATTATCCAGCTGATTCCACAAAAAAAATCTGGGCAAACCCTTTTGACGTTGCAATTGCTACTGAAATCTTGCGGGTACCCATGAGCTCACCTGAAATCAGTGATCCAGCTGTCAACCAGGCTGCCAAAACAGTTCAAGACTTGCTGGTTGGTGGTTGAAAAACTGAACCCCAAGCCATGTGACGAACACAAAAACATCAACCCTGCAGTGATCACACAGGCCCAACTAGTCTATACCGGTTCCGCAATTTCAGGGACCAACGTAGAGAATGGAAATTCAGTCTGTCCGTGCTGTTCCCCGATTTCAATCAAAACCTCCACATAGGTATTCAACGACTCAAAACTTTCAAAAACGGAAGATGTGATCATCTGATACCATGTTTTGTTTATCACAACATGTGGTACTCATCATCCAAAATACTTCCATGGTGAATCTTTGATATCTGTCCTGGCAAAAAGTCTAGTTTTGAGCTGGTCAGCAAGTACATTAACAAAAAAAACAAGTGATAGTTGATAGCAAACGATCAAAGTATTAGTTCGTACCCAACCAGTTGGTTGACCCAGCTTCCATGAATTTTCATTACATCATCGGTGGGTAAATTATAGTATTTCACTAACCTGAAAAATTCGACTATATTGGGATAGTTCCGCTTTTCATCCAAACCATCATCAATACCGGTAAAATCCCATTCACTCACCATTAAATCCCATTAGAAATCACCATTTGCCTATTACCAGAGGCGAATGGTGAGCGGATGTGGTTTCCCAACAACCAGTTTGGGCAACGGTCTCTCCGGCCAACAACGGCCGAAAACGCACTTGCCTCCGTTGGATCGCCAGGTGGTTTCAAGATGTTACAAGTATCACATGGCGGCGGGAAATGTGGAGGAAATATACGGCAACTACATTTAAATATAACTAGAAATGCTGGATATATAACTAGAAATAACTAGAAATGTTGGATTTATAACTAGAAATAACTAGAAATGTTGGATTTATAATTAGAAAAAACTTGAAATGTTGGATGTATAATTAGAAAAAAACTTGAAATGTTGGATTTATAATTAGAAATAACTTGAAATGTTGGATGTATAATTAGAAATAATTTGAAACGTTGGATTTATAATTAGAAATAATTTGAAATGTTGGATTTAGAACTAGAAATCACTAGAAATGTTGGATTTATCACTAGAAATAACTAGAAATGTTGGATTTATAGCTAGAAATAACCAGAAATGTTGGATTTATAGTTAAAAATGAGTAGAAATGTTGGATTTATAATTAGAAATGACTAGAAATGTTGGATTTATAACTAGGAATAACTAGAAATGTTGGATTTATAACTAGAAATAACTAGAAATGTTGGATTTATAACTAGAAATAACTTGAAATGTTGGTTTATATTTAAAAATAACTAGAAATGTTGGATTTATAACTAGAAATAACCAGAAATGTTGGATTTATAATTAAAAATGAATAGAAATGTTGGATTTATGGCTAGAAATAACTAGAAATGTTGGATTTATAGCTAGAAATAACTAGAAATGTTGGATTTATAACTAGAAATAACTAGAAATGTTGGATTTATAACTAGAAATAACCAGAAATGTTGGATTTATAACTAGAAATAACCAGAAATGTTGGATTTATGACTAGAAATAACTAGAAATGTTGGATTTATAACTAGAAATAACTAGAAATGTTAGATTTATAACTAGAAATAACTAGAAATGTTGGATTTATAACTAGAAATAACTAGAAATGTTGGATTTATAACTAGAAATAACCAGAAATGTTGGATTTATAACTAGAAATAACTAGAAATGTAGGATTTATAACTAGAAATAACTAGAAATGTTGGATTTATAACTAGAAATAACTAGAAATGTTGGATTTATAGCTAGAAATAACTAGAAATGTTGGATTTATAGCTACTGGTTGGTGGTATACCTTTCCCCTCTGAAAAATGTGCAAGTCAATTGGGATGATGAAATTCCCAATATATGGAAAAATAAAAAAATGTTCCAAACCACCAACGAGTCAATTATACTGATATGGAGGAAATAGGACATATGCTGAAAATATGGCGGAACATTTCCGAGGACATTTGGTATGTGTCATACTGCTATCAATATCAATGAATCTATCAAGTATTTCAGTGAAACTGATATCGATATCAATGTCAATATCTATCAATATCAATATCAATCTAGAATTTCAGCGATTTTTTTGGTGATTGATTCTTAGCTCCAAAAAAGGTTCTCCAGCTCTGGGAAGTATGCAACTAGCACTGATGGACAGCAATTCGTGGAGCTATGACATATTATGGTAAGTGTGTTAATACTGGTTGGTGGTACCCCTCTGAAAAATATGAGTGAAAGTCAGTTGGGATGACATGACATTCCTAACTGAATGGAAAGTCATAATCCATTCATGTTCCACACCACCAACCAGTTTATCATGCTTGGGATTCTGCAAGTGCAAGCCGTACCCATCTACATTCCTATCTTTTCCCCTAAATCTGGGATGATTGGAGCAACCTTCCATTGTAGAATGACCATCCTCGTACCAATGGGGCTTGAAACTAATGTCCCTGGTGGATTATTTTCCCTACTAATCCCCTCCCTATACCCCTTTATGAACCCTGGTTCGGTACTGAATCTACTATTCATTTTGAACCCCTTATTGAGCGTGTGGTAGTTTACATTAGAGGAAACGGATTGAATTGCCACTTTGCAGTATGCCTCACTTGTCCTCTGTTCTTTGCCCTGTTGTCAGCTGTTGTTCCATGTGGTCTGGTTCTTCAAATTCCCCATATAACATCATAAAATAGGATACAACTAACCAAAGTCAGCAAAATTCATAGGATAATTGACCACGTAGAAATCGTGACTCCAAAAAAATCATAGGATACAAGATGATACAAGTCCCCAACCACCAGGGATTTCATGGACGCCAGCCTCACTGAATCACTTGATGCTAAACTCGCTGGAGTGGTCCGTCTTCACGTACCTTCCAGAAAAAAGCAAGGCAGGTGGGCCATGACACCGGTGCCACTGGTCTGATTTGGAACGGAAATATGGAAATCTCAAAGCCATATGCGAACCATGGTGCTGGAATATTTACCAACATTTACCCAAATTTCTTGACCCAGTTTTGGAGGTAAATACACCAGCACCATGGAGCATATGGGAAATGAGATTTGCCAAATCTTGGAGATGTCACCAGAAACAAAATGGCTAATTCAACTACCAGAAACGAGGGAGGATATCCAACACATGCATTGAGGAAATGACCAGAGTCCTATGAATTGGGGTACAACCATTCCCTAACTTGAATGTAGGGTGTCTAAACTGTCTAAATGAAAAGAAATCCCACATTCCCGATTTAAGGTCATGTCATGTCATGTCATTTCTATTCTAGGCCACCATCATGGCGGCCTTGATAGTGATTGGCATGAAAGATCCACTTCGTGAAGTGGTCGAATCAGGTTGAATCATTGTATTCCACATGAAATACTGGTTGGTGGTTTCAACCTACCCCTCTGAAAAATGATGGAGTGAAAGTTAGTTGGGGTGATGAAATTCCCAATATATTGAAAGTCATAAACTTCATGTTCCAAACCACCAACCAGAATAAGAATTCGTGATATTCCCATTTACAAACCAGCCCAACATATTCCTGTCACTGCACGGATGATCTTGGGGTGGCCTTGCGACATGCCCATCCACCACGGATCTGTTGTTCACTGGGGCGCACTGCGACATCAATTTATTGGGATGATGTTCACTGGGGCACTTTGGGGCGAACTAGCTGGCTGAAACATGAACATTCACCAACCAAACAAAAAAACACTATTTCTTTTCGAAAAATCATCTCACTCAC